TGGCTCCGGGGCAGCCCGCGGTAGCACTCGCCCCGGCCCGGGGAGGAGGCAGTCCCGGAATGGGCTGCAGGAACGATCCTGGGAACGATCCCACCAAAACAACCCGCTCCGGCTGCCCTGCTCCCAAGAGTTTATTTTAGTCCTCGAGCTGTCTTGAAAACACGAGCGGCGCCGCTTGCGGTTGTTTGCAGCGTGTGGTCCCGCGCCAGAGCCGCCCTTCTGCACGGTGCCACGGAATGAGCCAGGGCGAGGGGGCCCGGGCGGGCCTGCGAGGCGCCCCGGGGCATCCGTGGGCCCGTGGGTTCGCACCCACAGGCAGCAGCTTTTCTCTCCGCGCCCCCCACGCTCAGGGACCCTGCGGCGGTTCCGCGAGGGGAGCGCGGGGGGTCCCCGCCGCTGCCGCCGCCTGTTGCGAACGAACTTGCCCTCTACCTTCGTTTAATTTAATTGTGCGCCTCTCTGGATTTATTTATTTTTCCACGTGCAGAATATGAGCGCTACACCCACGGCACTCTCACGAGGCGCTGAAAGGGATTCTCGTGCTCTCCTCTACCCGATCTTCGATTAAACCCGCGGCGCGGGGAAGCGACCGGAACGGCGCCCGCTTTTGCTCCGGCCCTTCGCAACGCGGCCGCGCTCGTTCCCATGCACGGCCCGGGGGCAGGTGGAAAAGGTTCGAAACGAGTGACAATTGCGCGTGCGGGACGTGGGGCAGCTCCGCACTGCTCCACGCGCGCGAGAACTGTTAGTTCGCTGGGAAAGCGCCCCGCCAGGGCTGCCAATTAGGGGAGTCAGTAAAAGTCGTTTAAGCTACGACGCCTCTTTCTCCATTTTCTCTCTCTCTCTCTCTTTTTTTTTTTTTTTTTTTTCGTCGATATTTTTTATTCTCGGCCCCGTTTTTTTTTGTTATCGTTGTGCTCCGCGAAAACCCAAACAAGCAGCAACGGGCGGTGGGGAGCCGAACACAACATGTGTCCCGTGTCCTCCGCTATCGCCCGGGGGCGCGGCGGGGAGCAGTGCCCGGTGTCCGGCCCTTGCGGGGCCGCTGCTCGGGGCGGCCCCTTGCGCGGGGCCCGGCAGCGGCGGCGGATCCCGCAGCGCCTCGCGGCAGACGCGCTGCCCGCCGCGCACGGGGCTTCTGGCGGGCAGGAATTCGTAGCTTCCCAGCACACAGCGCTATATATATTTATACACATATATATATACACATATATATGACTATATATATACACAGAGACACACACACATATATATATAGCGGTGTCTTTCCCCTTCCCGCTTTAGTTTGCACTCCTGCAGAAAAATAGTTATCTTTCTCTCTCTTTCCTTCCTTCCTTCCTTCCTTCCTTCCTTCCTTCCTTCCTTCCTTCCTTCCTTCCTTCCTTCCTTCCTTCCTTCCTTCCTTCCTTCCTTCCTTCCTTCCTTCCTTCCTTCTTTTTCTTTTTCTTTTTCTTTTTCTTTTTCTTTTTCTTTTTCTTTTTCTTTTTCTTTTTCTTTTTCTTTTTCTTTTTCTTTTTCTCTTTTATTCCTTCTTTAATCTTACCAAGCCTGTAATCTCGGGTTGGAAGTCTTTCTGTATGACCTTTTTTTTTTTTTTTTTTTTTTTCCCTATATTTTTTCGTTCAGTTCAGCCCAGAGGAGCAAAGCGCTGTCTGGGACAGTCACCAGTTAGCCTGGAAGAGAAATGGGAACCACTTGTTCAAACATCCCAAGGTCCCAAAATCATTCCTTCTTTAATCTTACCAAGCCTGTAATCTCGGGTTGGAAGTCTTTCTGTATGACCTTTTTTTTTTTTTTTTTTTTTTTCCCTATATTTTTTCGTTCAGTTCAGCCCAGAGGAGCAAAGCGCTGTCTGGGACAGTCACCAGTTAGCCTGGAAGAGAAATGGGAACCACTTGTTCAAACATCCCAAGGTCCCAAAATCTCTACGAGCCATCACAGATTTTTTTTTTCTTCGTCGTTGTTGTCGGTTTTTTTTTCCTCCCATTTTTTCCCCTTATTGGAGAGGGGAGTAGGGGGACTCCGGGCAGGAATGTCTGCTCGGGCGGCTACAAGCACCATAAGATTTCGGTTTACTTTCTTTTTCTTCTTCTTCTTCGTTTTTTTTTTTTTTTTTTTTTTTTTTTTTTTTTTCTTTTCTTTTGTTTTGTTTTATCTTAGCCCTTCTTCATGTTTTCATTTAAAAAGTGACAGAATCGGTGGAGCCCTCGACTGTTTCCCATTAGCGGCAGAGTTCACCAACGTGTCTTGCTGATGTTCCCCATTACCCGTCCCGCGGGTCGCAGGC